GGATCACCATTGAGAAAGCAGCAGGGCTGTCCATCATGCCTTGAGGCAGACGAGTGCAAGTGTACTGCTTATTTCTATGTGTGAATGCAAATAACGGCTGTGTGTCTTCATGCACAGGCACTGAGAAAAAGGCAGAGCATAAATCCACCACGGTAAAATGTGTGGCTGTGGATGGAATACATGTCAATATGCTGGGACATCCGGAACCAGAGGTGGCAAAGGGATAATGACTGCATTAATTTGCCTTAAATTTTGTGTAAAACGCCATACGCCAGGTTTGTTAGGCTTTGGCACAGGATTGACAGGGGTATTATATGGAGATACTGTGGGCTTTATCACTCCTGTAGTCAATAAATCTCCTATGATGACATCTAGGGCTGAGGCTTTTTCGACAGAAATGGGATATTGCTTGACATATACTGGCTTGTTGTTTTTTAGCTGTGCGTGATAAGGTATACAGTCAATAAATCCTACATCATTCTCACCTTTAGACCACAATGTCATATTCTGGTATTCAGCTGGCAACGTAAGTGCAGAAATAGTACAGTCGATAGGATAGGTTAGATCTATGTGTCGACATGGTGTAGTTATGTCATAACCTATGTCTGAGTTATGTGACAAAACCACTGTTTGACCTTCACTGGTGTGAGCAGTTATCATGTTGTTGAACAGTGTGAGAGAGACAAAGGTGTGGCTCCCAGATATGGGATTACCTGGCAGTGGTTTTTGAACACGTTTTTGGCACATTGTGTGACGTGGAATACCAGACAAAAAGGTGTTGAGTTCATCCTCTGCTGAGGCGTCCAGCTGACACAGAGGCTGTTCCTTCTCCATGGTGCATAAGGCAGAGAAAACATAGCTGTTATCAGTATCAGCAAACATTTCACCCTTTGTGTTAAATGAAATACACAGATTCATTTTTGCCAATAAATCCCTGCCTAATAAATTCACAGGCGAATTTGGAATAATTACAAATGGATGATATGTGATTTCATCTGGTTTTGAGCCCCAACGTGTCTTTAGAGAATGAGTTTTGGGGCATTGCACTATAGTTCCATTAATTCCCATAGTGTTGATGCACACAGAGGACACAGGCCCATTATAGAATTTCCCAGACAGTGAACTTTTAGTGGCTCCACTATCCACTAAAAATGGGTATTTCTTACCATCTATTTCTACTTGTAGCATGGGCAAATGTTCTGTGTTAGGGGACAGTTGCAAATGCAGCATCGTGTGTAGTGCTTCACACTGCTGTCCCTCATCCTCACCTGGGCCTCCCTAGTAGCGACCCAGCCGGGGATTATCAGGTGATGGGAAAAGATCATGGTGAGAATTGTAACGCACCCTTTCCCTTTCTGATTCATGCTCTGGGTGTCTGCGGTTACTGGAAAACTGAGCTAAATTTGCACCTCTAGCTTGTCCACCTTGTGGATTATAAGACTGTAGCCTAGATGTGGGGCCAGTATTGCATATTTCTTGTGGTTGCCAGTTACCTTGACTGGAAGAGCTCTGCTGACGCCTAGTGGCAGGAACTTGTACTGCGTTCTGTGGTCGAGGCGTGTGTGCCCTGTTGGTGGCTGCAAAGCGACATTCTCTGGACCAGTGTCCTACCCTTCCACAGCAAAAACAAACATCTCTACTCTTATCCTTCCGTCCTCTGAAACTTCCTTGCTGTGCTGGAGCGGATGATCCTGCATACATTAATTTCTCACTTTCCTCTGAGCCTTGAACATCAAAATTCAACATCATCTTAACACTGTTAGCTTTTGTGATAGTAGGAAAAGGTCTGCACTGGCCTTCAGTTGTACAAGCTTTAAGAAAGCATCTTTACTCAATACGTAGAGATTATCAGTAGCTGTCACTTTTAGCAACTGAGAGCATTCAGGGTGGATATTGTTCAAAAAGGTGGTGATGAAAATCTGATCATTACCATCCTCTGGCATGCATGCCTCATCAGTCCAACAGTGCATAAAGCGTTTTATGAATACTAGGATAGATTCATCAGGCTTCTGTTTACACATAGTTACTGCATTTAAGTCAATTTTGTCTCTGGACATTGTGAGCAGGAATTTCTTTAGATTCTTAAAGAAATCGGCGACTTTGTCATTATTTACCCACAAAAACTCTACAGTTGTGGATGCTTTATCATGCTTTGGGTCTAATTCACCTATCTCTCTTATGAGTTGTGACTCGGTTACTCCAGGAATGCATTGACACAATATGTACCTGTAATCCGGACCACCCAAATGGTGATATCTGGTACTTCTCTGTAGTGCAGAGACAAAGGCTGTAGGATTTTTAAGAGGATCGGGAAGCTCTTTAATAGTTGTCACTAATTCTGAGATTTTAGGGGGCTGAATACAACACTGATCTCCTATTATCATAAAGGGGTAAGCGTCATTGACGTCACTAGATTTTGGGTCTGTTTGTTTACTACCGCGAGTGTTGGCGTAAGGACCTTTGTCATCCTGGCTTTGTTTTTCCTTTTTTTCTTTTAGATAAGTCTTTATTAAAGTTCGGGTAACAGGTATTTCTTTAGCTACCTCTAAACCTCTAGCTACGATATCGTGGCGTTTCATGTGTGTGTCTATTGTGGACACTGCCTGATGCAAAAGTTTTTCTTCATAGTCGTCTAAATTGTTTTTAATAAGTTCCTCACATTCTTCTTTCAAAAGTTTTTCTCTCTTTCTATGTTCTGCTAATTCTTCCTCGCGGCGTATATATTGTTTTTCCTGATCTTGTTCAATTAGGTGGCTGAGACCCGTTGCATGTGATTCAGGTTTTTTGTCACTGTCTTTTAAGCTGGTTGGATCAAAGCGCTGACGTTGTTTGCATGCGGCTGCGGCAGCAACTATTAATTCGGTCTCATCTTCGTAAGGCGGCGGGGCTGTGGGCTGAATGGCTGAGCATGCAAGACTAGCTTTTCCCGCGGTAGATTTATTTTCTATGCTGGAGCCTGCACTAGTTTTATTTGATGTAAAAGTATCTACACCTGGTTCCGGTCCTTTTGTCCATAGCGGTAACATTTGATGCATCACGTCGCGGCATTCTATCATATATTTTCTACAGGACTTTTTAAGCAGACTACTTTTCTTATCACAAATGATATTCAACATTTCTACTGACCTGTTTTCTGGCGATAATCGTTCGGGATAAGGCTCCGGAAATAAATTAGAATGCATTGAACTTACAGTCCGTAAGTTGTAAACAAAGTCAGTCACATAAGCACTTCCACACGTTCTGGATACGTAATCATGGAAGTCTTCGCCGATTCGTGGACGTGGGTTACACGTAACCGGAAATGGGAGTCGTACTGAGCTGTTGTTTGAGACTTTAAATTTAATTTTTTTTGGTTTTACAGGTAATTTTGATTTTTTTATCGGACTTGTCTGTGGTTTTTGAATTATTCTGACCCATGTTCAGTGATTTCCAGAGGGGTTTACACGCTTGAAGGATTTATGTTAGTATTTCGCTGCGGCACAGCTGAGGTTACTTTAAATTTATTGCTAGCAATTTTTGTTTGTGTGAGCAACTCTCACTTAGCGAGCAACTTCTCGCTTAACGAGCAACTTCTCGTAAAACAACAGGCAACTTCCTGTGTCTTTCTGCTTTTAATTTACTGCTTTTAACCCTTGTATGGTAATCGGGTCTGTGAGACCCGTGTTCAGTTTTCTTTCGTTTTTTTTTTTTTTTTTTTTTTAACAAAATTAAATTTAATTATTTACTAGCAAGACAACAGGCAACTTCCTGTGTCACTTTTTGGTGAGCAACTTCTCACTTAACGAGAAATATTCAAGACAACAGGCAACTTCCTGTGTCACTTTTTGGTGAGCAACTTCTCACTTAACGAGAAATATTCAAGACAACAGGCAACTTCCTGTGTCACTTTTCTGAGTGAGCAACTTCTCACTTAACTCTGAGTGAGCAACTTCTCACTTTTTAACGTACGTTTAATTAAACAATTAATTATTATTATTATTATTTTTTTTTTTTTAAACAAAATTAAAATATTCAAGACAACAGGCAACTTCCTGTGTCCACCAACACCACACAAGGGTTAATTTACTTTATTCGGGGACTGAGGAAGTCGTCAGTGTATCTCTCTGGATCACTAAGTGAAACTTCGTCAGCATATCCCGTTTCTTTATGGATCGATCACTGAGAGAGGCATAATACGGTCTCATATAAATATTAAAGACGCATATTTACCTTCTGTCAGCCATCCCACTTCTGACACCAAAATTGAAGGAAATTGCCGTCCCGGGTTTCCTCCGTGGCGTGAGCGATAAGCAGAGTTCTGTCCTTTCCTTCTAAGATTCCTAATTATTTAAAGTAACACTCAGGTATGCCGTTCAGCTGGGTTAGTTACGATATCGGGAGCAGTTAGGAGAACAAAGTGATACAGAAACTGTTCAGATTGCTTTCCCAGAATCAACTCAAAGGTTTATTTGATACACAGCAGTTTATATAGAGAAAAAAAAGGTTCGTGTGTCAGCTTTCCCAGTTCAAACCGGTACAGACTAAATAAGGAAACGTCTTCCTGCCTTCTGAGCAAAGTATCCCTTGTGTAGTTTATCAGTTCAGCTATAATTTATGATCATCCCAGCAAAATACACTCCTAGACATAGAATACAGAGTTCTTTCATCAGTGAATTCTGAAACAAACCACCTAGCCTTTAACGAGCCTTTTCCAGGAGATGAAGAAAAAGGGAGGATGGGAGTAAGGAAGTGGTCTCATCTCTGTGGTGTTTTCGACCTTGGGGTACCAGCTTGTGAGTCCTACACATTAATTCTTGGGTCACAGAGAAAGAGAAAAACAACTAGTAGATGGACCTTATTGAGCAACAGTTTTCCTGTATAAAACAATATCCTGTAAATGCTTACCGTGGTATCAAAATATCACAACAGGTTTCTTGCTGAAACAGAGAGAGCAGGACTAAGTGTCTGCAGTTGTTCTCCGTGAACAAACAGACTGACCAGAGTAACTCGGCATTGCTTACCTACACTGCACCTCCTACAACCTTTAGTGTCAGGAATCTTTACAGATATGGTAAACTTTCTGTGGCCAACAGAGAATATCCAGGTCAGAACAAGCAGACAAAATTGGGTTTACAGTATCCTCCTTCCTCAAAATCAAGTGGTAGCATCATACATGACATTATTAACACTGCTGCACCTACAGCTCCTGTTTCCCTGCATCTGTGATGGCGTGTCGTACCTGAGACTGATCCGCTCAGTGAGGCGGTTGGTGCTGAGCGACAGGCTGCTGTGTTTCTTGTGCAGATGTCCTTTCTGTTCAAACAGAGCTGGCAGGCTGTGCGAGTAAAGCTGGGCCGACTTGCCTGCAGGATGGAGCCTTTTTAGAGCAGCATATTATCGAGTGGACACAATGTTCTCCGTTTGTGTCACGCTGTTTGTTACCTGATACGGACATCAGCACATTGTTCATAACATATAGCCATATACATCGCTGAGGGGGAGCTGTGGGGAAAAGACAAGCAGTTCACTGAGACTTCAAACATCCAGCTTCAGTCATCAGACTGTTCCAGAAACATCATTTCCTGGTTTTCAGTGCTCCTCCTTTCATCAGGAGCTGCACTCCTTACTCAGGTTTTTCAGGGTGATGCGATTAATGACTTGCACTTTTTTGTTATTACTTGCATTTTTACACAATGCTCTTCTACTCTGACTGACACTTTCAACTACCAGCTTGACCGCGCATCACTCTTTTCTACCTCAAAACGACCAGTTACACATGTCTGCATGAATTCTGCACGCACGTTTGCACTACAAGCTGCACACAAACACGTGCGCACATCCATGATTTACTCCAAACCTAACTTAACCTTCGGCGCTTTTTAACTTTCAACCCCTTCAGTGGAAACATTGGGAGAAGTTTGCCAATGTGGTATTATAATATTATTTTATGCCACGTTAGACCCCTAATTGAAGATTGTGAATTATTATGTAGTTTTAGTTTGCATTATTCTCCTGAATTAGAAGAAGGTGATAACTATTGCATTTGTTAAACTGATTTGCATTACATTAGACTGCTGATTTATTGTGAATGAATGATATTGTTTCATGATGCATTATACTGCTGAGTTATAAGAAATACTGTTCGCAGAAAGTCATCGCCTTATTTGTCTGATTAGAAGAGAACAGAACATGCTGGAGTTTTCTGCCCCATCTCAGCAGGAGCAGATAAACAGGGAGCCAAGGTCGTAGCTTAGGCGCCGTGTGAGAGAAAGCATGTGAATGTTTAGGCTTTTATGATAAGGTGGGGGCCACTAGAGGCTATAAGAGTTTGATCAATGCTCCACCATTTTGAGATCTGATGCTGTCTGCGTACGGTGTCCATCTCCCACACGTGTGATCATTAAAATCATCGTTTGACTCAACCCGGTCGGACCAGTGTTGTTATTGTGGTTTTTCCTCTTGTATCCATCCCCAATATTTGAATCCGTAACACCATCAAACTCGTCGTTGGAGGGGAGAGGGAGGAGAAACAGGAGGACAAAGGATGGCGGGAACAACTGAGTGTAGTGCTTTTTTTTTTCAACTGTGCAATATTTGCAATATTGTTTTATATTCGACCTTTTTTGTGGGGCAAATAATATTGACACCAGTCATTTTGTGTTTTTCTGAAATTATTCTGTTATTGTGTACAAAATATTAAAAAAATTCAGCTATATATGTTGATGCATGCTTTTATTACCAGTCGCATTGATTGCTGTAACGCCCTGCTCTCTGGTCTCCCCAAAAAGAATATATCACCCTTACAACTTTTACAAAACTGCAGCTCGTGTGCTGACGAAGACCAGAGGGTGGGCCCACAGTACACCGGTTTTAGAATCGCTGCATTGGCTCCCCGTGTATTTCAGGATCGATTTTAAAGTTCTTTTATTGGTTTTTAAATGTCTTAATGGTCTGCTTCTCTCAATGACTATCGCCCTGTAGCCCTCACCTCAGTAGTGATGAAGTGCTTTGAACGCCTGGTCAGAGACTTCATCATTTCTTCACTACCAGACACACTGGACCCACTACAGTTCGCTTACCGTCCAAATCGTTCCACAGACGATGCCATCTCTCATCTCCTCCACACATCACTCACTCACTTGGACACTAGAAGGGGGAATTATGTTAAAATGCTCTTCATAGACTACAGCTCTGCATTTAATACCATAATTCCCTCCACACTCACCACCAAGCTGGAGCATCTGGGACTCAGCTCATCTATGTGTCTGTGGATCTCCAACTTCCTAACTGGCAGACCACAGGCAGTAAGGATGGGCGGACATGTCTCAGCCTCCACCACTCTCAGCACTGGAGCCCCCCAGGGGTGTGTTCTGAGCCCCCTGCTGTACTCTTTGTACACATATGACTGTGTGGCCACTACCAGCTCCACCACCATCATCAAGTTTGCTGACGACACCGTCGTGGTGGGCCTGATCTCTGATAACAACGAGACGGCCTACCTGAAGGAGATTAGGAATCTGGAGAACTGGTGCCAGAGGAACAACCTCCTTCTAAACGTCAGTAAGACAAAGGAGCTGATAGTGGACTTCAGCACTAAGCAGGAGAGGAACTACCAGACCCCCGTCATCAACGAGTGCCCAGTGGAGAGAGTGGACAGCTTCAAATACCTCGGAGTTCACATCACGCTGGACCTGTCATGGTCCTGTCACATCAACACCGTGGTGAAAAGGCCCGACAGCGTCTCTACCACCTCAGACGCTTGAGAGACTTCCAACTGCCCTCCAAGGTGCTCAGGAACTTTTACTCAGGCACCATAGAGAGCATCCTGACGGGAAACATCTTAACCTGGTTCGGGAACAGCACCATGCAGGACAGACGAGCTCTACAGAGGGTTCTGCGGTCAGCTGAGCGCACCATCCGCTCCGAGCTCCCTGACCTGCACTCAATCTACAGCAGGCGGTGCTGGACCAAGGCCAGGAAGATCGTGAAGGACCTCAGCCATCCCAACAACAGACTGTTCTCTCTGCTGAGGTCAGGAAAGCGATTCCGCTCCCTGAAGACCAACACAGAGAGACTGAGGAGGAGCTTCTTCCCGCAGGCGATACGGTCTCTCAATCACACCACCACACAGTACTGACCCACACATATGGTTCTTACACACACACTGGACTTTCTGGACATTGTTTTCACTTCATCACTTAAATCACTTTAAGCATATTTGCACTGCACAAGACATAATGTGGATTGCACAACACTGGTCACTATATTCTTCATTTCCAGTTAATACTTGTACAGCTGCTGTTATTGTGTATATATTTATTTATTTATATTTCTTCATACATTCTTATATAGTTCTATATTGTGTATTTTGTTGTACAGTTATTTTATTTTCAACTTTAATTTATATATTTTATCTTATTCTCCCAGTTAAATTTACCCTTCATTCTAATTTGTGTTGTACAGTTATTTCATTTTTAACCTTAATTTATATCTTATTCCCTCCTAGTTAAATTTACCCTTTTTAATTTTTCCTATTTATTTCCTATTTATTTCCTTTTTTTTTCTTTAGGTCACGAGCAGTTGTCCAAGCATTTCACTGCATATCGTACTGTGTATGACTGTGTACGACTCTATACGTGACAAATAAAATTTGAATTTGAATTTGATTTGGGCCGTCTTATCTCTCAGATCTGCTTTTACCATACGAACCCTCGCGGACCTTGAGGTCCTCTGGTACTGGCCTTTTGACTGTTCCCAAAGACAGCACACATACTCACGGAGAGGCAGCTTTTCAGTGGTATGGTCCTCGTCTGTGGAACAGCCTGCCGGAGGAGCTCAGGGCCGCAGAGAACGTACATGTTTTAAGAACAGGCTCAAGACCACCTTTTTAATTTAGCTTTCACCTAACGTTTATTTATTTTATGCTTATTTATTCTATTTAGGTTTTACCTAATATTTATTGATTTTATTCTTACTCATTTTTATCTTCTTACTATTTCTATTGTATCCCGTTCTTATTTACTTTATCTTTTTACCCTGTATATATCCTATTGTGTCATATCTCCAGTGTTTCCTCGGAGGGGGCTCTCTGCACCGGGGCTGTGATCGACCGTGGCTGCTGGGGCTCTGGGGGTCCTCTCAGCCTGGCTGGGGGGGGGATATGGGTGCATTCATGATTGTTTATGTTAATGAGAGTGTGGGGTAGGGGTGGGTTTTTATAATCGATTCATTGATTAAAATCGATTCTGGCTTGGATAACGTAAAATCGATTCATTAAAATCCTGAATCGATTTTTTAATATAAATTTATTTTGTCCGAAATGCCAGAATCTCTGGTGACATCTCACAAAATTTCAAGAACCACCAAACAGTAAATGAGAGCAGGTACAGGGATTCTGCACATAGACTTAAACACACAGCGCAACCCGCGGATCAGAATCAGTTACATGTCGCCTTTCTCACAGTCGGGGCTGAAAGCCGACAGCTCGCTGATCCGGGTCCGCGCTTTGTGTTCACGCCCTTTATTGTTGTTTACAACGCTGTCGGCCGCTGTTTTTTTCCCTTTTACATTCTTCCGAAAGAAAACCTCATTTCTGCTGTTCAATACTGAACAAATTTAAACTTTTTAATATTATTCAAATGCAAAATGCTTAGCCGTGTGTCTAATAAAACCGCTGTAACGTCAGAGGCAATGTTCATTAATTAATGGTTTCTTTCGTTTTTGATGTACTGCAGAATATTTTTATAAAATCCCAGGCCAGGAAAATCACCTTCATGTTTTTCTGTGTTTTATCTTCAGCTACTTTGACACAAAGGCATCTGCTGTGATGCTCACACCTTGGATAAAGTCTTGCGAGTGTCAGCTTCCTTTTTATAGATACAAAAATATGTAAATGTCTGATCTGAATTATACTTCTGACTGTCAAAATTTCCCAGATTTAAATCGAATCGAATCGAATTAAATCGAATCGTGGATCGAATCGATTTGGGACCTTGTGAATCGGAATTGAATCGATTCTAGAAATCAGTGACGATACCCAGCCCTAGTGTGGGGGGTTAGTTGGAGGGCGGGGTGGGGTGCTTTTAACCATGTAAAGCACTTTGTGCTACTTTTTTTGTATGAAAAGTGCTTTATAAATAAAGATTGATTGATTGATTAATTTCCCAGCTTTGGTCATTATATACAGTATTTGGAGACAGAGAGTTACAGACTCTCTCCCAGACCACGGACTCATAATACAAGTCAGAGCTTTATAAAAAAAAAAAAAGTTGTGTTTTCTAAATTGGAGTTCAAGTTATTTGTACTTCCAATAGTGTTAATATACTACACAGGTCATGAACAAGATTTCTTTACATTTTCATTGTAAATGGGCTGAAGCAGTTCATTAAAAGTAGTCTAACATAAATGTAAACGCTGTAATTTGATTATTTTAATAAACCATGAAACTTGGATGGATTCGATGCCGGTGTGA